TTTAAATCGTGATTTACTTTATTTATATCCCAATTTAAATCATCTGATTTTAACCATTACATTCCTTATTTATGTATGTACTGCCCACGAAGGTTCAACTTTTATTTTTCTTCACTTATACTGTTTCAAATACAAATATTCTGCTAGTTGTAGGTGTAGATGCAATGAAATATATAAGTGAATTTTCCCCGACCATTGATTTTTTTTTCATTTGTAATTGTAGAACCTTTATAATCGCCTAAATAGTTATTTACGGAAGTAATATAGAAAGTAAGTCTTTGGTGTGCAAATAATATGTTGACGCCCAAGGCGGCAACAGGAGTTGAGTCCGAAATAATTAATGAGTGAGTTGATTTTGCAATACGTATACCATAGACATTTTTGTACAAATTCTGGGAGAATTCCAAAGTGTTCACGTAAGCTCGCGTGGCACGAGTTCATGACTTCTTGTCTGTCCGGGTGACGTCGCGTCGTTGGCTGAGAGGCCTCTCAGCCAAGAGGTCACCCGGACAGCCAAGAAGTCAGAATTAAAAGAATAGTATGCTCTTGGGTAATCCTCAATATGCGACGTGGCAGCATGTTGTAGTGAGTATATACATTTCTGTGCGATACGCGTACGGTAGTGGTTGTTGAAAGTACCTCGGGCTGCGGCGGCAGCGGCTTCGGGTACCACCAGAGGCCGTCGGGCATGCGCACAGCCATATCGTCGAAGCCCGCGCCGAACTCGGGCGGGCGCTCGCAGCGCAGGCAGTGGTCGCGGCGCAGGTGCGCCACCACGCGCATGTCCTGCTGCGAGGCCGAGCGCCGCAGCACGCCGTTCATCCACAGCGCCAGCCGCTCCGCCAGCAGCTCCAGGAAGTCGTTGACGGCGCTGCGCGGCTTGGGCAGCCCGCCGTCGCCGCCGCCGCCGCCGCCGGCCAGCTCGCGCAGGCGCACCAGCGCCGCCGCCGCCAGCGCCTGCAGCCGCCCCGTGCGCTCCATCTGCGCACGCGCGCGCGTGCGCCAACGCTCTCCTTGGCACTCGGGACTTGCAGGCTTTGTCCGGGAAGTAGTAGAGTTCGCATCCCGGCTCGCAAATAAGCTTGCTCTGTAGGTTTCCGTGGTTTCTGACCGATCAACTCACAAGGTGAAATGCCGTCAGCAGTATGGTAATACATCGAGCCACTAGACTAAGACGACTTTTTTCCCTTCCCTTGTTCTATCCTCATGTCATAGCTACACACTTACATGCCCTACACTACCACACATTCCGGGAGACCACTCGGAGCTGGTCCCGGCTGGGGGGGGGGCGATGCCCCACTGGTGGGAGACACCTAGTTAGGGACAACTGCCCCCTCCTCATAGAAAAACATGAAATACACTTACGGAAATCATGGCATTATTAGACGCTCCCGGAAACAGTAAAAATTTGCGAAAATTGCAAAAAATATTTTTTTTCTACCTATAACCACAATTTAGAAGATATTGTTTTAAATTGCAATGCATTGATCTTAAAAAGATCTTCAAATAAGATCATGTTCAATGTTTAGAAATTGTATTTTTTATGTAATTTGGCATCAAACAAGTCTTCCGCTCCGAATTTCTCGCGCTTTGTAAACGTAGTTTGAAACGAGCTCGGAGGCAGTTAGATATGTTGAGAACCCCTTCTCGTTCTTTAATGTAATACTAACTTAATATTACAAATCGTAGAACATACGATTCGAAAACATACCTAATTTAAGTTGCAATTTAAAAGCATACGTAATCGTTACAAATATTGCTAGAAAGTACGTGTTTTCTCGTTTGCTTGAAGAGTGTAACATCGAAGTTATTAATTTTGAATAATTATTGCAAGCGTGCAACGGGCAAGAATGTTTTTTTTAGCAAGAATTGGTGAGAAAATGGGTGCTCATTGTTGGCAGTGCTCATCGCTGCATGCGCCCTTTGTCACTGCTCATTCACTGAGATGTGTTGACCTTAACTATTATGGGACGAAAAAGTATGTTTTTTTAGCACCTCTAATTTTGCATTGAGAACTCAACCAGAATTCGGGCCGATGTCTATACATACAAGTTTGAATAATAAGCCATTTGTTTTCTTGAATCACATTTAGGATAAGTGATTATTAATATTACGTTGAGTGGCCTATTTTCCCAAAATTTACTCTACAGAAGAAAGCGACCATGCCTCGCATGGACGATGGAAAATACTTAAACAGGCTTTTGCAGCCAAGTGAGGACTTGCTTAGGGAATTTTCTACACAACCACCACTTGGAAGCAGAAACCGACCACGGCTGCCCTCTTTTACGACGCGTCCTACGTTCGTCCCCTACTCACGATGGCGGGCTCCTGCAGCCAGTTGAGGATCTGCTCGCCCACCAGCTCGCCCACGGCGACGGCCCACTGGCGCAGGCGCTTGGAGTTGCGCACGGCGTCGTGGCGCACCACCGTCGCCGCCACCAGGTCCACAGCCTTGTCGCGCCGCCCGGCCTTGAGCGGCCTCAGCGACTTGCGCTCCAGCAGATTGCCCGCCGGGTCCAGGAACTCGATCACCGTGCTCATGCCCCTGCCACGCAGCGGGCCACGCGTTGGTTACTGGCTCCGCGCGCGGCAACTGCTCAAGTTATCGGTCACGCTTTTATCGCGGGGACGTCCGACGTTGCTTTTCCACCAACCAGGGCTCTCCCACCGGCGTCGCGCCGCCCCAGCGAGCGACACCTAAGCGCCTGACTGGTCTCCCGACACGTGTGCTAGTGTAACTGGAATGTGGTGTGTGTGTGTGGTGTGTGGTGTGTGTGGTGGTATGTGAGAGAGTAGGATTCAAGTGCGAAAGGCAGAGATGTCCAACTGGCGTGCCATTTAATGTGACCCGTGAAAGGTCAATAGTAGGGCTGTGATTTATATGCATTCGCATATTTTTCTGTTAGAACATCCCGTTTCAACAAATTGTATACGTTTTGAGGCATTCAGAATCAATTTAAGCTATTTCATTCCGCATATATCACCATAATTGCATATTTGGGCCATATTTGCATATTTTGTTGCACATTCACCACTCATCCGCGGAAAGAAGCCCAAAAGTTACAGTTCCGTCAGCGTGGAAGCGTGGAAGCGCGTAAGTGTAGCGTGCAAGTGTAACTGTGACAGTTCTCTAGCCACTTGCTATAGTTCATCATGTGACCTGCTCTGAAGCAATGGGCTTTCAAAAATTGGTTTACGTTGCCATAGCCACGGTTCTGCGTTGCCGCTCGCCTGACTCGTACGAATTTGCTCGAGAAGCACTCTAAAATCTGTCATCGGCAGTATCAGTCGAAATGAAATGTCCGTTCTCCGAGCGCCTATGCATGCTCACACACGGCGCACACGTGGAGTGGTGTTAAGTCAAGCCCGTGAATTTATTGTGAATTGAGAGGAAGTCATATTTTTGTTGCAATGCCTATATTTTTTATTTTTTGAAATGTATATTAACTGCATCTCCCGTTATTTTTCTAAGAAATGAGTGTTCTTCAAAACTTAGCCTAGTTATTAGTCAAAGTGAAAGTCCCTTTCCTTCGTGTCGATCGAGAATATCGTGTGCCTGTCGCAGGCGCCCTTTCGAGGTCAACACTCACTTTAATATAAAAATAGGTTAAGTTTAAATTTAAGTATTTTTTCTATTAAATACAGCAATTTAAAATCATCCCAATCTGTTGCAAATTTTTTATTTCCCATCCCATTGAAGATTTCAAAAACATCTCAAAGTAAGCATGGTACTACGTGATATCAGATACAGTTCCTTCACACCCCTCCGTTTCAGAGTAGCTACGCCAATTGCGGAGATGAACCGTATTGTTCATCAATCCACACCAAGTCAGGCGTGGATCACCAGAGTAGCGTTTCGTTTCATTTTCGTTTCTTCACGTATAATTTAACCTTAGAATTACTAACCACATTCTATTCCCGTGGATACTAATGTGTAAAATTGTTTCGCTTTTTTTCATCCCGTTATGAAACACCAGGATAATATTGGTTATTACCTTTTTTTGATTTTATGAATTTTTGGTTGCTTAAAAAGGATAGTAGCATGAAATAAAGTGTAAAATGAAATTCAAAGATAACTTTAAGGACTGGGAATACTTTCGAATTACTTTTTTACGCAGATTTCGGAAAAACACTCGAAAAGAAAAAAATTGGAGTACACAAAACGAATCAATCTAGGATAAATTACATTAAGAAATAGTTTATTTTGATGGTGAGCATAGACTTTGTATATGTAACAGTGTACTTCATTTTCGTTTCTGACTCCAACTGTGACCTTATGACATGAATTTTATGGAATTTACTTGATTCCTAGAAATTAATTAATAACACTGGTCAATATTCAAAATCTGACCGACTCGAATATAGTAAGTTATGATTCATTTGATAATGGAAAAACGAAAATGACAGTTAAATCTTTCAGTTAGCTCCTAGTTCATAGATACTCGTAGCTCATGTGAGTTATAAAGGAATTTAAGTGGTTGGAGATTGTACTGACACATCTGAGCTTAGCAGTAACGGGTTTTGGGAATTTTTTATAACTATATAGCTTATTTCAAGTATTAAACTACATTGAGTTTCTTTTAGGTTGCGTGTAAATATGACACTATTCTGAAATAGGTTTTCCTTTGTATCAGTTTATGAAGGATCCTGGAAATAACGTAATTGTTAAATACTGTCCTAACATATTTTTAAATCCCTTCTAGGCAAAAATTTGCTTGCAAAGGCGTAGAAACACTCCAGAAACATGTAAATTGTTTATTATTTACAAAAGAAATTAATATATTTGTTTAGAAAGAAAAATTAACTGAGAAATAAAAAAAACTGCCGAAATGTGTAAATTGAGTGTTTTTATTTATGTTTTACTTTGTATTAATTGTGTTATTTCTGTGTTAAAAGAATTCAAAGTGGCGATCCGTATAATACACAATGCATTGCGTTTAATAGTTCAATAATAACTGCATTCTGGCATTGACATGCAGATTTTCTGTAAGAAAGAAGACCTACTTGTGAGAGACGTGCATCTCTTCTTGGAGCATGTCGACTAGTTTCTGGACGCGAGGGCGGCTGAGGACGCAATAGTTGTCGCGCAAACTGCCTCGAAGGTATCTGAAAACGTTTACATCCACTTTCAAAACAAGTGATGTTGAAGAATTATCATTAGTTTGTTTGTTCATTGTTTATTTCAAATATTTTTGATGACTACAACGTTTTATTTGAAAATTTTGCGCAAATATACCACTAGATCTCGGCTGGAACTACGAAGTTATAAGAAACCGTTTAGCAATTTAGAAAACTAAACATTGCCGGATGATAGAGAAAAGTTAGAGCCCTTTTATGTCAGCTAATTACAATTCGTTCTTATCGTAAAAGGAACGGCGTGATGGGTTGCCCTTCGCGACATAGACGAAATGTGTAGATGGCCTCATTTCAAGCAGAAGGTGCTCGTATTATCTCACGGGCGGCAGCAGAGCCTACCGAGTGAGCCCAATGCGCTACCATGCAGTGGACCAAACCTAAATACAAATACCATCGAAAGATTGGTATTTTTGAAAATATGTCAGACATGATTTGCAGAAGAGCTGAATTTTTACAACCGACTTTGTATAAGGCAAAAAACTCAATCTTCAATTTTGTAGTTTTGAAATATTAACCTTTTGCAATTTTGGTAAAAACGAAAAGATAGCTCACTTGGATCTGGCCCATATTTTTACTCCCTTACTAGATATGAGGAGAAAATTTTAAGAAAGAATTTAGAGTGGTTTTGAGAAAATATTTTTTTTTAGAAATTGCTTAAATTTCAACACAAATAATTCGAAATCAGCGCGTTTTTTACAAAAATTGAACGTGGCCTTTTTTAACGAGTTCATTTTTAACAATAGATTTTGTTTAAAGCAAAAACCATTCTAATTTTGTAATTTTGAAATGTTACCTTCTTTAAACAATTTTCGAAAAACGGAACGATAGCTGAAAATGGAACTAGCACCATATTTTTTACGGGCAGTTATTACATATGAGGAAAAAATTTTAAGAGAAAATTGGAGTGGTTTTGGAGAAAAAAAAGATTAATATTTTTTTAAATCTATATTTCATACAAAAGTATACGAAAAATAGTACTCATATTTTCGAAAACGTGAACATGAACTTATTTACAGATCTGTTTTTAAGGATCACATTACATTAAGAGAAAAAATCTTATTTTAAATAAAATTAAAAAATAATAGAAAGTATGTGCTGTTGTATACCATTACTGTCCTTACCTCTTGCTCGGCGCCGCCATCGCCGGGAGACGCCATGATGGCTGTGACCGTCGGAACTTATAAAAAGTAGGGTCAGGATCCAGAAACTCGCGCCAAGGAAGTCTGCAATTGTTTAATGATACAGATTGTCAGTGTTTTCATAGAATGAATTTACTTAAATTATCCTTACATTTTCATTTGCCAAATAACAAAGTTAAAGTAAAAAAAGTTGAATATAGCAATGTTGTTTATGAAATTCGATGCAAGGAATGTGATAAGAAATATGTAGAACAGACCAAAAGAAAAATAGGAACTAGGATAAAATAACATAAAAAACAGCATTAGACAAATACCAAACAGACAAAATTCACTAAGCATAGGGTAGAAGTTCATACAAAATGGATTTTGATAATGTACAATTATAGATAATGACTCAAGAATTAGACCCAGGTGGATTTCCGAATTATCAACATAAAATTAAGACATGCAATGAACACGATGGGGGAAAGTACTACATTGACAAACATATATGATAATATATTATTTATGTTGAAATGTCAAGATAGGAAGGGCAAAGAAGATATCGAAACTCAGATCCCCCCGCCGAGGGAAATGACTTCGCCCCCCTGCCTTTCCCCTCGCCTGCTTTGGAGAGGAAACAGACATAACTAGACGGTCGCAGCGGATTCTTGGCCTGGGAGCCGAGGTGGACCTAACAGAAGAGGTAGTAACATAATGTGGAAATTTAATACAGACACACGAAGTGCAACCAAATGTGGAATGAAATAGTTGAAATGTGTAATAAACATAATAGGTAAATTACCAAGAAACAATGGTGCTTCTTTGATTCTGTTTATAATTGGCACATTAGAAATAAGATGTATTATTAATATTTTAATATAATTATTGATTACGTAATGTAGAAATATTTTACTAAATACCCGAAGTGTTAGGTCTTTAATTTATTTATTTCTAGGGCTTTTCTCCAGCCGACCTCCGATATCCCTTTACGTCCCAAAGCGATGCGCAATCGACCATACCCTAGACAGATACATTGCAGACAACCACGCCCAATGCGGGACTCGAACCCGTGACCCTTCGGACCGAAGCGCTGAGCCGGTATACGCTCTTAGCTCCCATCCAGGTGGGCAGTTCAAATCAATAAAAGTTCCCTTCCCTCCCCGTGAATTGCGATTTATTCTAGAACCTGTCGTCGACACTCCTCCCCCCTTCCATTTTCTTTGTGTACTGGAATAGAAAGGGTATGCAATCAATAGGGATATCCTTTGAGCCGTTTGTCAGGATGTATTCTCTAGTGACCCCCCAAGGCATCTCGCTTGAACGCGAGTGCCTCTTACGTACTCGCGCGGGGCCGCTAGGATCTCGAGATGTTCCTTGCGGGTGAGGCCTTCTCTGGGGACGACTTGCTGGTTGAAGAGGAGGTGCACGCAAGGGTTGAAGACCGGCAGCGGGGTCCTGCGCCGCTGCAGCCACACGAACTTCTCGTCCTCCTCGATGATCTTGCGGCGGGGCGGCGGCGGCGGGGGCGGCGGCATGGGGTCGCCCGGCTCCACCAGCACCGCGTGCTGGTAGTCCACCGGCTTCGGGCGCAGCATGAGGCGCGTGGAGAAGGCCGCGTTCTCCTCCTGGCTGTTCATCTGCTGCACGACGGGCATGGGCGGCCCGCTCGGGTCTTGCGGCCGAGGGCGCGTGTCGGCGGAGCTCGGCCGCCTCCTCTGCGGAGCACACGCAACACACTTACGGGACGCCTCGATTCCCTTCGCTCACTACACGTTCTAACGTAAAAAACAATAATTATTTTTTTATAATCAACAAGTTATTTTATTGATGTTGGAGGTTTTGGGAGTGACACTTCGAATGATGTCAATTTTCTTATTTATTGATGTTCCTATCTTAAAGTATTTATTATTTAATAATTGAAGCTATCAGCGACAGGGGTCTAATCCACAATATTGTTATTAACACATTTTACGGATGTGCAATCTAAAGGTAGACGTATCGACTGTACAATGGACATTTTTCTCGCTAAATGGCATCACAGTACTGATTTTGCCATCTGGCATTTGGCGTACTCTCTTGGAAACAAAGACGACTAACCTGAGGTTAGTCCGCTTAGTTGCTAAGAAGGGTATGCGACATAATATTTGTCGGAGAAAACAATGAGTCGATTGTGTCGAAGTAAACTGATGGTGCTATGCAATTACATTCGTGCATCTCCACGTCTGAGTGCGAATGAAATAAATCCTAAATGCCAGTAAGGGTTCACTCATACCTGCCTCGCGACCAAGATTTTGGTCTAATAGAAGAGGAGAAAAAATTACTTCTTACATATTTGCGCCTTGAAATTGTCACACAGTAATACAAACTTCTTGGAAGAAAAATTCGTTCACAGTGATTCAAATGATCCAGTTTGATATTGTCTGTACTAAGGTACTTGAACGAAACATTACAAACATGGAACTGTGTGAGTCGAAAACAATGGTAAAGTGGTTGAAAATCCAACGGCTACGATTTAGAAAAGAATCTCCTCATAAAATTCAATATAAGTATTCAAATAATGAAAGTGTAACATTTTACGACACTTGATATTAGTAATAGAAAATCACTTACAAAGAGGATGCACTGCCACTCCTATATCCCATTCTAAAAGTAAAAAAAACGTATTCATCAACTGAACTTTATTCCCCCAGTATGTTGTGAATTTTACAACATTCGATAATCGGTACAGACCCCTGGTGGTAATATAGTGGCCAATGCTTACTGCAGTAGGAAGTTGTTTAAAAAATATTTTTCGAGTTCAAAGTGATTTAACTGAACATACTATTTAAATGTTCATAACTTTTGTTCAAAATAAATGCAATAAATGTATAGTGTTCTTATTTTTTCCACCAAATCGTAAAAGGACAACGTGAACTAACCCATATTCAACATCAAAATCCAAAAGAGCAAAGAGAGCGAACCCATCTTAAAAGTACATTTTAGGTATTATTCATCATATGTTGGCACTTTTCAGTACTTTCAGTTTCCTTCTAACATTCTACAGTGACTTGAGATATTATATTCTCAAATAAAATAATTATATAAAACACAAGTTTCACGAAATATTCAAACCTCTTTTTCTCTCATTTCCTCCAAAGTGGATTTGTCTACTCTGCATCTTATAGTCTTATTATGGGATAACTTTTATTAGTAAGATAATTTGTATTAAAGACTGAATCCTATCATTTAAAAGGTAGATCTCAGTATCAATACAATGGAATACAGTCCATGAAATTAAATTATCTTCAAAGATTTATAAATCTTAGTTAGAAGTGTCATAGTAATTCACATATTATAAATGAGACGAAGAAAACAATAGCTTACATCAAATTGTCCTACGCTACATTTTAGAAAAAACTAAGGAATTTCCAACAATACGATCTTTAGTTTTCCAATTTACGTCTTCGAAAGTAGCATTAAATTTTGACAAACAATAACAGATTGAAACAGTGAAGTTTGTTAGTTATACAAATGTTACAGGCACATATTACCTTATAACTCAATTTCAGTCTGAAAGAGCACAGGGCTATCTGCCTTCATTGGTGAGATTACCCATCCTATGCTATCGATGTTAAATTCTTATTATTGATGACCCATTATTTCATAAACTATAGGAGATATTGATTTGAAATTTTTACTGTTCATTATCTGTACTATTGTTTTACTGAAGCATATTGAAAATAATTTCTTGCAGAAAAAATTGAAGTTTTGCAATTTTCGGAAAATTAGGGTTCTCAACGATCATGAGACCTACATCATTCTTTAAAACGTTCTTCACACTATCCAACAACAAATTGAAATAAGAAAAATTGGAATAATTTTTTTGAAAAATTTGAAAATGTCTCATAGCTTTCATGTTAAGTACCCCAAAATTAAAAAAATCTGTTTCGAATCCAAGGGGTCACGACATCAGCCGTATCGATTGGGGAATATAAATTTTGGAGAAAATCGGCTGAACGGTATAGCCGCTAGTGTTGTTCACAGACAGACGGACGTTTTGCTGTCAATAGATTTTTCGGTAACAAGGATCCACAAAACGTGAATTCTGGCTACACCACGTGTTGGAGGATTTTTTTAAAATTTAGCAACTGGTTTTATCCACTTTTTCGTTGCCAGGGTCCGGCAATGAGAGTTTTTCTACCGAATATTTTCCGGTTTTTCTTCGCAGCATTACAATAAATAACTTTCTCTCTATTTCGTAAGGGATAACAAAAAAGTAAAAATTGGAGTTGTTTTAAGAAAAAAGTTTAAAAACTGCTTGTTTTACGCAAAATAACTTGATAACTACTCATCTTTTAGAAAACTGTTCACTACTTTATTATAAGATGTCTTTAGAGAACACTTTCATTCAGGAAAAATATCTATATTCAGTATTATAGTTACTGGAAGATGCCAAAACGTTGTGAGCTGTTGTAATTTTCAAAATATTAAGGAATAAAATTTAATAAAAAATATTGGAGCCATTTGTGAGAAAATTGTGAAAATGTGATTTCTTTGATCCCTCAAAATAAAAATATTCGTTTCAAACTCTGAGGGCCTTGAGGTCTTTTCATCACGTGTTAGAGAAAGTAATTTACTATACAAAAGAACAATATTTATCATTAAGCGAGGGCGAGAAAGTAAAAATATTTCAAAAATATTTATGGGAGTATTAGCTTAATTTTCTCTTTAAATATCTGAATACGACACTATGGTTTAGAAAGAAAATTGTTCGATTTATGAAGCTTCTTTGCTTTCCATTCTGGTTCTCATTTGGTCTGTTTCTTCTTCTAAGCAAACATATCCAGATTATTTTATTAAAAAATGATTTGTTTCTTATATATGCTTATGTAATAGCGCTATAGAGAAAGAAAATATTACTTTTTTAATATTCCTCGGAGTAATGAACTTAATTTTTTTTTCAAAAGGAGATAACGACACGACGCATAAGTCAAATTGAAAAAATATCAGTTGTGAAGTACCGCGTATGCGGCGAGCAAAAACGTCCAGTTAAAATCCTGCAACTTTAATTTAGACGGGCCTACTGCGCTTATACAGCGAAGAAAAATATAATTCAGTCTTTTGTTTAATACGTCTTTATAGGGAGTGGGATGCTCAATAAATGGTCTCAGATAATTGAATAATTCGTTGCACTTCTGAGAAAATATAAACAGTATAAAACAACAAAAGCAGTGATATATTTTTTTCATTCAGCAAAGTTACATTATTCCCAACATGCTGTGTTGTAAATATCTGAAAATTAGTTTGTGTATGGTACATGGTGGAAATTGAGATGGTATAAGAAAACCTGTAATTCAATTCGATAAGAATAATTCCCATCTTTTTTATCCACATGATAAAAATCTTCAAATTTAAACTGAAACAATTGTTCCTCATCTCGGACAATATATTCAAAAGGACAGTGAAAATAATTTTTGAACTAAATTTATAAAACAAGATTGTATCTTTCACATGTGTAGCTCACTCTGAGTGATGCAATTAATAATTTAACATGAGTCTAGTATTTGTGTATCGGTAATGAAAATTTCAGTTAAAATATACTTCTTTTGAATGTTAGAAACAAACATAATTATTTAATAATCTCAATTAATGAACCGAATTTAGGCTTGTTCATGCCCACAATGTCACCAATACTGTGCATTGCCTCTAATATATACAAAATGTAAGCCGTAACATTATTCACAAATTTTAATCATTATGTTTATTTATATCGAATTAATATTCTGCTTGTACTGAATAAATGTGACTCGCGCCCCTTTTCAATCAGAGAAAGGCGTATTTTCTTCACATTTGATTACGTGTTGCACCATTTCGCATTAATTGTCGATTTGAAAACTTCTGAGGTTCTCGGAAACCAACACCATCCTACCTGTCTCTTTCGATCTCGTCGATCCCCACTGGGGGCCGACGTTGGCCGTTCGTTGTCATTGCCTTGTCGTGCTGGAGACCTTTGTGAATCCATTGTGTCTATGACTGCATCCCTTCCGTCTGCTTCGATTTAGGTACTGTGTTTCATCTTGAGAAATCAATCTATAAAGCAAAAGCCAATTGACCAGTTAATTAAAAAGTTAGTTACTAGAACTATGATGTAAACAAAACCCTGTAGAAGTTTAATAATTAGTAAGATTTATATCATGAATCTTCTCGTATCTTTTGACCGAATCAAATTTGTTCACATCTTCGAAAGACGAGAATGTGTTTCACATTCAGCTTTAATAAATAAGAACTTTGAAGCAGGGAGGGTGACTTTGCAACTGCCCTTCTTAAAGACGTTACCAAAAAGTCATAGAACCTTGCCGCTTAAGGGCACATCGGAAAGCTGTGTTGTAAATAACCTAATTAACTTAATATTAATACCAAAATAAAACTAAATATTTATAAACCACTATGATTCTCAAACATTGAAAAACCAACTTGGTAATCAAATGATAATAAACGTGTTGACATTGTAGAGATTAATTACGGGAAAAAAATTTGCGAATTTCGTAAATGTCTAACAACTAATAAATTTAACCATACCTTATTCTCCTCCATTCTCTCCTTTAAATAGGTCTTGATCTTTTCCCTAACTCTTATCTCCTATAGATACTTTGAATTTCATTTTGGAGAGAATATTCATCCTTCAGTGTCCCAGATATTTTGTACACTGAATTTTCAGATGGCACTACATTGCTGTTATTGTGCCATCAGCCTTTTTCAGGCTATGGTGGGTGGTTAGGTATGCATAAACATTATATACCACTTCTGTTTCTACCGCGGCATTCAACTGTCTTTTCATTGTCTGCTTCAATCTCTTTTGTTGTTGAATATATCTGAAAAAGTAATTTTTAATAAAAACTACATCATTATAGAAATTCTCTGGATGTTGCTCAATTTAAAACGCTTTAGACTTTCCAACAACAACAATTATTTCTTATTGTATAAAAGCTAGTATAAAATTATAAATGTTCAATGGAATGTCATTATTCTTTGCTACATTGGTACCCCTGGAGACCCGACAAGTGGAGATGTTGGGTTTTTATCGAATTTCATTCCTTATTCCGACATGTTGGACATGGCAGAGATAAAATAATAAAACGTGATTGTTTGACAGATAACACAAATTGAACTAACTTTTAGTACGCTCCTTTAGTTTCACTGAGTTCGTTTCATTAAATGTTCGAAATGGGAACTTAACTTCATGTAATGGTAACTCAATGTATTGCTTCAAGCATTCCATACTTCCAATTTTTTGTGCATAAAACATCTGTTATGAAGACATTTGTTGATATTAGGGAACTTATACTACCATTCACGCTTCTAGCATTAGCGTCCTCAAGTATTTCGAAGTGTAACCCGCTGTCGCAGTGCTGAGAATCGTAGATTTTCTCCCTTTCATTAAGTTGTGGCCTGGGAACATTTTACAACAAAAAGAAAACAAGTGGAGCTACAGAATTGCACAGAATTTCTCGTTGTAAAGTTTTCAAATTTCCTTGGTGTGGGCTTTACGGTCTTGCCCCATCTTCTTGCTAACTACCATCGAAGGAAGATGCCAGAAAATTCAAACTTTTGCAATTTTCGAAAATTGGCAGTTAACAGTGAAAACGGTCCTATGATATCTACATACGTACATTTTAGTCTATTATTTCAAACAATTTAAAGAAACAAAATGGAGCCTCTTTTGAAAAATTTTTGAAAATATCTCTGGGGTTTCATGTAAAGTACCGCCAAATTTTAAAGAAAGTTTTTCAAAATCGCAGTGCCTTGAGATGAAGCAGTTGAACTCTCAATATCAATTTTGGAAAAAATCCTACGTATGGTCTAGGCGCTAGTGGTCTTCACAGACGGACGGACAGACAGATGGACAGACGGAAAGGCAAACAGACGGACAGACAGGTGGAGAGACAGATGGACAGACAGACAGACAGACGGGCGGAAAAATAGATGGGTTCGTAGGCTTCCGCGGATGGAATCAATGTATTCTTGGCTATCCGGGATGAGCTGCGTCTCGGTCAATGGTACTGACGTTTCGGCCATCTTGCTGTGGCCTTCTTCAGAGCTATACTGCTGATAGAGCTTCGGTGGTAGCATTTTTTGACGTCCATAAATTATGAAATGCCAAACATGGGGGGGGGGAGGCAGAGTTACGCTGCGTTATACATGGGGGAAAGGGGCGTTAGTTTAATGTTACATAACACTATTTTTAACGTTTGCTGAAATACTTTTTTTAGTCTTATACTAAAATGTTAAAATATTAAATAATTTAGGTCGAATTAGTTGCTGCCGGAGGAGAATTATGACGACCGGCTGCTCTGATCGGTAGTTTTCCGTGGTTTCTCCGATCAATACCAGGTGAATGCCGGTGCAGTACCCTAACAAACGAACCATGGACCGCGCGCAATCTTTCCTTTCTTTTCCTTTTTTGTGTACACCCCTTACACGCACATATATATTAACATGCTCTACACTACGACACTTGCCGGGAAGCCCGTCGGGGCTTAGAGCTTGTCCCGACTGGGATGGTGCCCTGCTGATGGGAGATACCTGGCTAGGGTAAACCCCGCTAGCCGACGGCAGGGCGGCGCCGAATCTCGCCATCCAGCAGGGTAAAGCCACCGCCACCTCCCGACGAAAGAATATGCACTACACTTACGAGACTAAGGATCTTAGTACTTCACATGCCCTGAATCACTAAAAATCAATCAAGCATTAACCAAAATATTTTTGGAAAATTAAATATATTAATGTTATTATGTAAAAAGTATTGCAATAAATGGAACTAGTTTTCATTAATTTTTTATTCAATTTGTAAGATTAGGGAGAAAATATTCAAAACTTATCTGTACTCTAGAATTCGATTAAATTGAAATCATACTCCCCAAGCGACATCGGTTTTGTCGTCATCGACTAGCGAGTGAACGGCTTTGTTGTCATCATTTTCCCGTGAGAGCGTCCTTCCTTCACCTAAAATTATCCCTAGTTTAATTGTTACGAGTCGACAACTAATTCTGGCTTTATCACAAATTTTAATATATATTAAACAATTTTTTTTACTGTAATATCATTTCTTTTTACTTTTTTAATGAGAGAGTGGGTGTTGTCGCTAGGGTACATAATTATTTGGGGGCGTTAGAAGGAGGAGGGGTATTCAAAATACTCAAAATTAGCGTTACGTAATTAATGGACGGCCCTCAGAGGCGAGATTTCGGATCTTTTATTGGGGGAGGGGCAAAGAGTACCCCCGCAGTAACACTATTTTATCTGACTGAAAAAATATGAAATATAACAAAATAACTTATTATATCACAAAAGCATTTTTGATATTTTCTCAGCGCCAAATTTAAACGCAAAGTTTGTTATTTTCTTTAAACAACCAAAAATACTTGTTACTGTCTTAGACACCTGAAACAGGCTTGAAAATATCTCAAAAGCTCTTCTTAAACACAAAACGTGATTTTGTTCACATTTTTTCGATTACTAGGCTGTAGTTAAAAAGCTTTTTAAAAAACCTTTTTTACCATTTTACTTCTAGATTACTAAGTTTTCGTCTTTCAGACGACGCAAATAGTGCAATCATATAGCAATCTTAATGAAACGACGGCTATCATAACAAAGGTTGCATGAGGTACTACTGCCTGAGGACACTTCTCAAAAGCCATGTGAAGACAGCACCAAGCAAGTGTATGCAGTGAGAGTCAAGTTATTAAAGTTCAGCTATAAAACCTTTAAAATGTATTTTGTAACTTCATATCATAAATGTAAAATCATACATCAAAAATAAATAATGAGTTCCTAACGAAGAGATGGAGTTACGAGGTCCAAACTTTAAAACGAAAATATGAAAACCTGACAAAGAGATGGAGATGCTTACTCATAGTTACTCAAATACCGTATAGGGATTTATTTTTTCTCAAATTACAGAAAAAGGAAATATTTTATGATATAAATTCGAAGATACGCGAAATGGTATATATATATATATATATATATATATATATATATATATATATATATATATATATTTAATTTGATCCAACATTAGGGAGCGGTTACCCCTCTGAATCCCGCCTCTGACGTCCCCTATGTGTGTATCTTTCGTTGCACCTGCAGAACGTAGTCTCGTTCCGACCTTACAAGCACCATTGCACCTTCTGATATTTTAATTCAGAATTTTCCAAGAAGTAATTAATTTCGAAATATTTGGATTGCTTTTAAGGACCACACAAAACATAAAGTGAAAGGTCAGAACAATAATAATCTGGCCGACATGTATTACAAAAATAAAAGAAATCTACAGATTTCATTATGTATGTATTGATGGCTTCATAATGACATCGTGACCAGACGTGTGATTTCTTTTACATTTTATTGGCAAACTTAAAAAACTGGTTCCTTCATGTCAGACTGGAAAGGAAGACGATACAGCTACATGTAACGGGACGACCACCTGGTCGGGGTCATTTAATGTTAGTTCCAAAATGTACCGGTAGATAGCATCAGCATATCCCATCATTTCCTGAAGGAATATGGGCCATACAATACATGGATGAGAAGTGTAAATGGTGAACTATTTGATTTGAGGTAGAGAAGTGATGTGAAAAGAAAAGTGTGGCGTTCATGAAAGTTTTAATGATTAGAATATCGTGATATTAAGTTATCTTCTCTCGTGTTAAAAATGAGAGAGAAGAGAATTGGACGGACATTGTCTGAAGGCTGGGAAATTTGTAGACATACGTATGTTGAGTATGGATTGTGGTAGTGAAATGGCGAGACATTTACCCATCACTTGCTTAACAAAAGTATGAAAACTTGACGTTTCTGGTCAGGTGTTTTTATTCTAGACTGGACAGTGAAAGACAGGACATTGGGGTTTGTGCTTACCCTATCGTGTTTACTAATCGATCATTATATACTTCCTGGGCCACAAGAAGACTATTTGTTTTATTAATTTGTTCGTGCATTCAGAGGAAAATGAATTTAATTACGAAACATGGAATGTAATGGAAATTGAAAATGAAGAGCAAAATATTAGTGTTTGGTGTGACTTATTCATTAACTATTTCAGGTAAATAACAAAATGTAAAAGTTTTACAAAGTTGTGATCTAGCTTGTGTTTACATTAGCTTTTTATTTAGAGTTTTTTAGTGACATGAAGAAAATACTCTTTAGTTTTACTTAAATGATTTGGCACTCGTGTTAAAATTATGAAATTATATTTTTTAGCAACGTTTGCTGCTGGAGAATGTACTGATCTCCATGGACGAACAATTGCTCCAGGCTTACATTATGTTCCTGGTCCCGATACTTGCACCTTGTGTGTGTGTGAAAGTGGACATCCAAAGTGGTGTAAAGCAGTCTTGTGTTCACCTCCACAAGTAAGTGTTTGAATGGCATTGCAATATTCTGTAATTTAGTGGAAACAGACTTTTTTTCTTCTCACTGAGAATGTTGAAAAGCAGATGTATGCAAAATTTAAATGCTGATAAATACACTTGATCAACATGAAGGATTTTGAAAGAACATTATTTTGCAATATTGACTTAAAAATATAGGTATTATGTGTCGTATAATGAGGAGCTCACTGAACATTAAATTGGAAAGCATTAACATAGATACTTTGTTTTACAAATTGTTAATATTCACATGTTTGTTCCTGTTCATTCGTGATTATTCTATTTGGCCCTTTAGTTTAGAACAGACCTTTTGAAAAGACCTTTTTTGCTTGCTGGCAGTCATAGCCGTCTCTAACAAGGCTGGTACAGCTTTATAACTTCCTTTTATATTCTCAAATGTTAGGTGAAGCAAAGCGTTTAAATAATTGTTTCATTCAAAATTTTCCATTGACTAAAATATTCCATTTTTATTTGTTTAAACAATTTCTGTGAATAAAGTGAAAAAAATTACTTTAGATTTTTAATTTTGTTGCTGATTAATAGGGCAAGTGTGAATAGGATGGATAATTTTTTTTTCTTGGTTAAATTTTTGGAGTTAATTTTTGAGAAGTTACATTAATTTAGATTAGAGATATTATGTAGTATATATACTACTTTTTGGCCCTCTTTAATGTTAGAATTTTTTTGTTTATTCTTTGTCTAAGGTATTATCGTTGGTATGTTGTTGTTATTATTATTATTATTATTATTTGCTTAGCAGCCATTTCTATCCATGCTGCATGATTAATGCGAGTATTTGTAGGGATCAGTTTTCAGCTGTATCCCCCAGTAAGACAAGGTTGTTGTGCCTTGAGTTGTGAATTATGAGATGAAATGATGATGAGCGATGAAGGGACAATCACAAATGCGACTATGCCTATGCAGGACTCGAACCTGCAGCCTCCTGCGTGAAAACAACTAGCTAGACAGAGCTAGCATATTTTTATTATTGTGATAATTAAAATAGTGTAAAGAATTGTGTGTGAATCCAAATTCTTATTTGTCTAATTTTTAAAACTTTTAACTAACAAGTCAAATTCTTCTGTTGCTTCCCAGTCTTTTCATAAAAAAGTTTTCCACTTTATTAAATATGATTAAAATGAATGTATTGATTGCCATTAAGGTATATTTATATAAATATGAAAGGATAAAATTGAGGTGCCCAGATTCATATGAATTTTAATGCTAGAAGGGGTTTGTTTTTATGTATAAGCTAATTAATTGTATTCTTCTCAGTGAATAATAGATGTCAAAAATAATTTAGTATAAGGGGGAAAATTCTTGTATGACTTTGGGTGTTTTGCAAAACGCAATTAAAATTTTGTTGAAATCTTATTTAAGAAAAGTGTGTATTCTTAATAAAGGAATAATGCTACTTTCATATCCTGATACAATAGTATATTGTTAGCTACTTTTTGGTCAAGCAAAGATTACAAAAACTTAAAGAACAACAGTTTTATCGTAAATTCAAGAACATCAGTCAAATAATCTTTTGGTTGTTAAAATCACATTGCTTTTTAACAGTACATAATTGTAGGTATGAAATGAAAAATACGAAAATTAAATAAATCATGAAGAATATTAATACAGAAAATATTTATAGATTTGATATTCTAGTTAGGTTTTAATGTATATACAGGGTGCTTACAAAAATGTTTTCACACTTTTGAACTGTAATAGAAAATTTATTTTCCAGCCTACAAGGTTAAATTTTTGGGAGTAGTTAAGTTAAAGGATTCTACAGTTTGTAGATTAAGAATTCTTTTTGACCAAATTAAATATTCATAATAGTGTCCTTCAGCAATGATACATTTCTGGGTGCGAGTTTTAAATTATTCCAAACTCTTCACCAAACTTTTCAATGGGATTTCTGTGCATCCGATGTGAATCACATCGCAAAGTAAGTCCAGGATACACGGTTGAGGATGGTACACCTCATCTTTTACTGTGCCCCATCACAAAAAGTTTAAGAGGCATAAGATCTGGAGAGCATGCAGGTAACTTGATTAGTCCTTTCTGTGCAATGTACTGGCCTGGTTCATGATTCTGTCTTGTAAAGAAACATTATTGTATTTTTCTGGAAGTTAAAAATGTGTAGGTGAGAAAGTATGTTTTCTGTGACTGTTCAAAGTGTGTTTATATGTTTTTGAAGCATTCTATATTTTTGGTACATACTTTTAAGATCATGTTAAAATGTATTTTAATTCACGTTGATGTTTCAGCTTTACACCATTATGGTATCAGCAGTCAATGTTTATATTTGAAATTTTTGTAAAACTGTGTTGTATTATTTTTTCAGGACTGCAAATCATTTCGTTTAGGAAATTCTTGTTGTGAATTTATATGCTTGGATGACACACTGCATAAAAACAACCATCCAAACAACACTGTTATGGACACTAGCACAGACTTGGGATTACGATTGATTGCAAGTGCTGTAACTGCTATATTGTCCCTCTCTCTATTATTCTTCCTCATTCATCGGCTTCGACAACGTAAAATCAGAGGTAGGTCATAATCACTTGAAGTTACAAGAGAGAAAAATGAAAACAGTTTATTTTCTAATAAATAAGATGATATTTGGGGTTAATTAACAGATTTCATTGCATATTCTCTAATGGAGGGAAGTTGTTATTTTTTATTTGTAAAACATACCTGTCAAGAATTTATACATATTTGTACATGCAATGAATATGTGGAACATATTTATCTTATTTGAAACCATGTAGAAAAAAATCAAATTAATCAACATTCTAATTCAGCTTCATCAAATATCACTTATCTTAAAATAAATAATACATTTTATAAAAAATATTAATTTATTTACATCAATTTAGTCTTTCTACGTACTTAGGAAACTGTGGCTTTTAACTTCAGTTGTAACTTGAGTATTTTACCAAAATGTTGATGATATGATACTGTTAACAATAAGATGTTTTTATTATCTGTATCTCAGTGTTTTTCTAGGTTGTTAATGTGACTTGATGTTCTGTCAACATTACATTAATTACTCTTAGTTTTTCAACACAACATTAGTTTTCAGCTGATCCATAAGTTATTATTTTCAAATTTCTTTCTGATATTTAAGCTAGTTTATGATAGGTTTCATTAGATTTATTATTAGTGACGATATGTTCTTTTTGTGTTGGGAATGTAAAAATTATGGTAATACATTCTTGAAGAATAGTTAAAAAATAATATTTGTTTCCCAAGGGGATTATTTGCCCAGCAAAAAAGAAAGACTTTATGCAACAAAAAGAAATTCTTCTCTTTCATATACATTTCTCCTTATTTCTTGAAGTCGGGTGAGTTTAGCTCAGAGCCAGCATTGCTCCAGAGGGCAGTGTGGAGGAGGGTTTGAGTCCTAAGAGTGGCAGATTTCTTCCTGCTGCTGCATAGCTGTGAACTCTGGTGCAGTGCAATGGGCCTTGGACTGCACACAATCTTTCCTTGCTCTTTCCTCTCTCTTCTCCTCTTATATACACACTTACTTATAAGCAATATGCTACCGTACATTCCTGGAAAGGGAGATACATATAGGGGGAAAACTTTGCAAGGAACCAGATCTCACTATCCAGTGGGGATTGAACTCCTGAGATAAACATTCACTACACTACAATAATAGAGAGGAGGCCTTATTTTGTCATACGTTTTTATTTTTGCAGAAAGCCTTTTTGGTTGCATCGTCACCTTCTGAAGTTGGCTTCAATGAAGGCTTTCTGTGAAAGCAAAAACCTGCCACAAAACAATGCGTCATATCTATTAATATGATGCAATGTCGAAAATTCCACATTGTGTCCTACCATTTGCTACACTAATGAAACTAATGATTATATTAGATGATGTTCCTGGAAATATCAATTAATAAAATGTCTCTTTAATATATTGTTGGAAACTTGTCATATCTTGCATTATCAAAATAAAGAGTGATTTTTAAAATTTTTTAAAACTTTCATATGTATAGTAGCATATTGCTTGTAAGTAAGTGTGTATATAAGAGGAGAAGAGAGAGGAAAGAGCAAGGAAAGATTGTGTGCAGTCCAAGGCCCAAATTCATAATTTCATATCTTCTGCTGTGACATACACACAAATACACTTACAAATCTTACAAGTTTTGCTTCCATTTAGATATTTTTGAAATCAATGAGCTTTTTCGAAGTATGATGTACATGAAAACAGCATATGTCCTTCAAGTGATGACTTGAACTTTTGCTTTTTTCCTAATTTGCATTTTATTTTCCGTTAACTCATTGTTTTTATTGTTTTGTTTTACATAACAACAAAAGAGAAACAAATAAAAATAAAAAGCTCATACTACTTACTGCTTGTCAATAAGTTTTAATTTCAATATCAACTAGTGTTTCTTCAGAATGGCACCAACTTAAGTTTTCTTATCTTAGTGTGTTTATATTCTTTGTTCTCTGTTGTATATTACGTTCTTTGATTTGGCCCACTTAAGCAGCAGCCATTTATTGCCCACTTAAGGCCATTTAATCTCATTTTCTCAATTTTTTGGTTCCCATCATTATAGAACTGAAATATGACTTTAAGAATATTACACAAGAGTAAAACACAGTCCTACAAGCAAATTTTCTTTTAAAAATTTGAAGTCTTTTTTGGGAAAATGCAGAATTTTGAACCCATTTTCGCAGAAAACTTTGTGGTTTTTATATTTAAAAATTTTCCATAATATTAATATCAACTATGTAAGCAATATTTTTAAAAAAATATTTGGCTTAATGTTTGAAAAAAAAGCATACATCAAAGTGGCATTTAGTTGTGTTATTCAATGCATTTAGCACTGTCCATTCAAAAAGTGTAAAGGACAAATTTTGAATCATTTTTGAGGAAATATCATTCGAGCAGACATCATTTGAAGCACTAGTGCAAATGCAGTAATGTATCCAAATTACCAGTGATGTAACTATTAATGATCCATATCCATAAAATATTTAAAGGAAAAAATTTGGAGTCCTCAGTTTGAGAAAAAGGCATTTGAGCATTTCTGGAAATGTGGATATTGTAGCTTATATTCACGAAAGCTTTTTAGTTTTCGAGGTACTTTTATGACGTCATTTAAAGCCTGTGTACTCACAAATCCAATAAATAGGGGGGCAGATTTTAATGAAATGTCATTTTTTTCTTTTCACTTTAGAACAAAGTTATTTAGTAGGGAAATTCATTTTGTATTGTGATGAAATGAAATGACCCATTTTTACATGTAATTTTTTTGCATTTTTCGTAGATTTCAACTAATAAGTCATTTTTTACTTTTGTCTATCATGTTTACGGCATTTTTCGCTGATGTCATCCTTTTTAATATTTTAATGGTACTTGCTTCAAACAATATTTACAAGGTGCAACAAATATTCTCCACAGAATTCCTGAGTAGCCTATTTGATTTCTTCGCTCATATATTGTAATGTCAGCCTTTGTGTGTACTACGTAATCTAAGGTTCCTGTGGTGTTTATTGGCCCCATTGTCCCAACCCAAAATTTGCAAGCTTAGTTCGCTTGAATAAAAAAGAGAAGCCTCAATTACATCAGTAACATATCCAACAGCTTGTGTTATTCATCTGAAGCGGTTTTGATCAATTTTTTAAAATAATTTTTCCTCATTTTTAGTGCATTTTAAAGGCATTTTATTGATTATTTTGGCACTGTTTTAGGTCATCAGAATCTTCCTCCTACTAATGACTAAGGCTCAGAAGTTTATGAAAAATTATATTTTAAATTATGAACTTCATAATATGCTAATTATGAAATGTCCTCATAACACAATCAAACAGAAATATGGGTTATTTTATGTACGATATTAATGCATATTTAGTGAATTTTGTGTTAGTGCATCATATTTCCATTATATTTAAGTTATTAATATTTTATTGCTTTTTTGCTCTTAATATTACATATTTGTCTCCTAAAACAGAAAAATGTACTTCACAAATGTGAATGCTATTCATGAGAAATTGTGGGAAGGTCTTTCGTTCATTGCAGCAGTATTTGTCTGATCTTCTTTTAGATGATATAATGGCAATGGCACTGGAAATGATTAGTTTGATTATGAATGATGTGATAATTTATCTTTGATAAAGAATTTGTGGCATTGGAATTTGCTACTTCAATGATGATACCGACAAAATCATTATATTTTACTTTTAAATTTATCGCTGGATTACTAAGTGGAGACAAAAATGCAAAATTAATTGTTAAAATTAAAAGTTTTGTAATTGTTCATGAATACCTAAAACTGTTAATTGTTAGTTGTATTTCATTACTTTTGGTGTATATTTTATAAATGTTAGATCGTATTTGCTTGCATGTTTCTCCTTTTGATACAGCATTAACTTCGAGCCTTACTAATGAGTGTGTAGAGATATCTTTCTTTATAACAATATGTAACTATTTTACACCACATAAACCTCGTGTTTCTTTTTAAATGCGTTGGTGGATTATCATTTTCCACATATCATGTCCTGGGACCATGCTTCTCAAAAGAACAGAACTCCAACATCAAGCATGGAATCCTATACTTGTTGATGGATTGTCCTAACATGATATATTGTTTGGTTATCAAGCCTGCATCATATTCCAATTAACTTCACAATTGCATCATATTACACTCACTTGATGCTTCAAATTAAGCCTGAGGTATCTGTACTTATTTACTAGTACACTATTCATAATACCACTATTCACTTGAACACTGGATCCTCAAAAACATTATGTATTCTATGAACGTATTTTATACTTATAATAAAACTTTTATGTTGGGAAGACTAGTGTACAATTACTACTGTAGAGGTAGGTCTCCGCTCTAAACCCATGTTAAGATCTGTTCGGCAAAGTTTTGTTTTTGGAAAATGCTTTTACAGAGCTATTTTAAACACCATAATGAATTTTTATTTTACATATATTCTATTTTTCTTTATATATTTTGGAAAAAGATAAATACATGTATGTACATATTTGACATTATTTATTACTATTAATTCCGTTCCCTATTCATTACCAACATTAAATGTATTATTAAAATTCAGAACTTTTCATTAGCTTTTAAAATTTCCTTTTGAGATTATTTATTTTTAGCATAAAAGAGTCAGAAGTGCAAGAAAATTGGGGAAACAATTTGCAAGAAAAATACCGTTATCGTTACACCCTGATGATGGGGACATACCTCGAACCAAGAACTTCTCTGTACTTCCTCAAACTGTCATCATCCAAATGACCTACTTTTTCAAGTTAACTCTTAAGTCACTTCTGTTGGAAACTGGTATATGAGCTATAAAACAAAATTTAATTGTGACTTGATCTAAAATTTTTGTGTTTCTAAAAGTAATTTCTGTAATTATTTTCTATTTATTGACTACGCATAAAGCAGTGAGTAACATACAAAGCTTTTATTTTGAATGTTCATGTATTAGACTGCTCTTTGCCTCAATACTGCTTTGGGGAGCTAAAGCTTCACTTCCCCCGCATTGGAAGAATAATAGGAACAATCTTGAAC